AAGTCATTTAGAATGTTTTTAGAGCATAAACTGTAGTGTATAGGATTTCCTAAACGCGCGCACATGCGAGTTCACAATCTACGGAAACCTCGGCAGACCAAACCAGATGAAAGTGCGCATTCAGCTCGGCAAAGAACTCATGCTCTTCCCCAACAATGAAGTCCTCAGACATTTTTCTTTCGTTGTTTATTTCTTTGCACATTTCTTCTTCTACGCTTGCATTATCGGCAGAGCAGACGCTGAATGCGCACTTCAGTCAGAACTCTGAGATTAAAGTCAGAATTCTGAGAAAAAAAGTCAGAATTCTGTTTTTTTTCCCTTATTAAACTGAAATAATATTTAAAAATCTGTTAACTTTTTTATTTTTTTTCTGTGGCCTAATCCTCCTCTGTATATCTCTCACTGTTTCTACAGGTCACACAATTATTTTTGCTGCAATAAACATCCATCCAAAGTCAAATTCTCTGTTTGTGAAAATCATTTTCTTTTATTATTTTGTTACCCATCACTCAAAAAAACAAAAACAAAAAAAAAAACTAATGCAGATAAGGATGTTAGACTGGGGGAAAAAATCTGTATTGTTTTTGGGAAGTGGAAAGTACAGCCAGTGTGGGTGATTCTTAACCTATATTCTTTTCATGCTAAATTGGGAACAATTAATTCTAAAAGACATCTTATTATAAAAGGAGAAAAATGGCTAACATATTAGAAATGTCTGTAAATAAGCTCCTAATTTTTATTCTCTGTTTTTTTTGTTTTTTTTTCTCCACATCTTAAGAGCAGAGTTTTGTCTGTAATTTATCGACCGCTTTTTGACAGGAATGAGTTATTTATTTGTATTCTAAACCTGGCCTCCTTTATGATTTCTTTCATAGTAAAGCAGTGAAAATCTGTTATGGAGTCTAATCCAACATTTCCCTACTCTTTGTAACCTGAACTCTTTTTATTTTATTTTATGTTTTTTTTCTGATGACCAAAGGCACCATATAAAGCTTCTAGTGTGGTGCACTACTGAGGGAAATAAAAGTTGAAGTGAATTTGATATTACATGTATCTTGGAATTATTCGGACTATAAGGGCTATAAAACCCATGAGCAAAAACTCCGAAAAAAAAAAATGATCAAAGTTGATTTTTATCTTTTAGAGCGATTCACCTCTAGTATGGATCTTGTTTCATTCACCTTGACTGCTAAATCTGACACTGATCTCAATGATTGGTAAAACTCATGGTATGATAATAAGTTCCAAATAAAATAAAAATAAATGTGGTTATTCCCAATCGGTAGTATTTTTCTTTTACTTTGAAAGTCCCAAACCCTGATTATTTTTTGGTTACTACAGAGATCAAACCATAGTAGGGTAGGTGATGATCATGAGAAATAAAATGACACCTCCTAGTCTGAAAGAACAAAAAACATGGTTTCTGTTGCAACAGATAAGACTTTTAGTGTAAACAGCCCGTATCCATCATGCTGGGTGTCAGCTGTACCAGCTGGTGGTGGCGTCATGTGGGGTATGTTTTGTTGCACTGACGCATCTCTCATACGCCACAGTGGACCGAAATATTGCTGCTGAGCAGCTGTGTCCTTCCAGGGCCAAAGTCTATCTCTTTTCCAACAAATACTTCTGGAAGATATTTCTTCCATTTTCCCCAAGGGGCACATTGTTTTCTTATGGTTTCACCGTCACCATGTTATCAGTTTATTCAAGTAGGCCACAAGGTCCCTTGAAGTCAATTGTCCTTTTTTTTATATAATGATGGAGACAGTCATTAATAAGAGATGAATAAGCTGCAGGCATTTGGTGATACTGATTCACCCTGTGGTGAAGGTAACCGTTTGTTAAATCATTGCTTTGACTAATTCAGCTGTTTTAGTGTGTATCATTTGATCTCTGGCAGGGTCAGTTTTGACGAGTCATGTAACAAGTAGGAATAAACCGATGGGCAACCGTCTTTTTGAAACTAAGAGATTTAGTGGGATTTTTCAGAATTTCTGTTTGTTTGCTGAACAATTTCAGGTTCTGGATCAGTGGCTCCTGACAGATCTGAGGGACCTGGATTACCCGGTTCTCCCTGAGGGACTAACCCAGGCCCAGAAGACAGAACTCAATGGTGCCTTTTGTGTCCAGGTGCTAGTCTTCTTTTTTTTTTTCTGAAATACATAATTTCTCACCTTTTCAGAATTTATTTCCGACCTGGCCAGAGATGAGAAATTTCTAAACATTGAGAAAAATACATTTCTTTTTTTTTTTCTTCTTCTTTTTTTTATGAAAATGAAACGTAAAATTAAGCCCTTGCTTAATTGTCAACAATTGCAGTTTCTATAAAACCATTAAATGGTTAAATCCAACAATAGAATTTGTCATTTCAACCATTACATTGGAAAGAAAGGGGTTCCTGGGAGGGAAAGCCAACATGACTTAATATGACTGGAGAGGTATGATATATTATTAGTGGGGATGCTTTGTATTACATAAATGCCAACAAATCAAACAGTGATTTGATTTATAGAGCACCTTTCAGTCAAATATATCCTAGTGTCTCACAAAAGTTAAAAATGGAGGCTAATAAGAAGAAATAAGAAACGGTCAAACTAAAGTTAAAACAAAGCGGAATATGATTTCATGAAATAAAGAAAACCAAGGAAATAAGATTTAATTATTGGCCCTTTTAAATTCATCATTAATATGTACTTGTTCTGAAAACAATGAAATGTTTTTCTTTGCACGAAACTAATAAAGCTTCATAAACCTTTTCAGGATCCCAAGAAGATGATTTGTTTGTTTTGTACATTTCTGTCATTAACTCTTATATAAAAAGTGATTCTTCTGTAATTCCAGTGCTGATTGGAAAATGTGTATTTAACTCAGTCAGATATAAAAACAGCTTAAATTTCTATTTCTGTCCTTATGAGGAAGCAGAATGGCTATACTTCTTTGAAGACCTGTCTAAGAAGTTGGATTTTTTTCCGATTGCAAGTCACCATCCAGGAGTAATGAGACATGCCTGTAGTAGCAGAGAGAACACTGGTTTATATTTTATAATAATAGTTTCTGATAGAAAAGGTTTACTTTGTAATTCAGTTTGCAATCTTAATTTATGTAACGACGGTTCATTTGCTTGTATAAAATACAGTATTAAGTAAACAGCTTTTTCATGAAAAAAAGAAAAAATTAAACCATATTGATATTTTTGTGTAAATAAATCTTTGTTGCGCCGATGCCATTTTGTGGCCCCGATACCTGACTATGCAGTATTGGAGAATACCATGCCGATACCATCTGTTTGAAATTTATGTGTGTGTATATATGAAGAACTGCATACTACTTGGATGTGAAATAATTGCCTTTATGGCTTTGTTAAGCTGCTGCCTACCTTTGTGAAGCAGGAAAAAGACTAATTCAAAGTAAATCCAGTAGAATGTTTTATTGCCTGCCTGAAATGGGTGACAATAGTTGAATAAACATTTGACTCTTAAAATGATATCAATGCCCTTTTTGTTGGTACTCGCCCATACCGATACCACCATTCTAGTGCTGGATCGGGGCCCCGGCTGATACTGGTATCGGTGCAACACTAGTATAAATGATCAGATTCTGAAATCCAAACTGAAGTGTACAGAAACACTAATTTCAGAATTTACAAATATCAAGCAAAATTGGGTACATTTGTGAGGATTATATGTATTAATAAAATATAACAAATTTTTATCTGATGGAGGTTAAATAAAAGGATTAAAAGACTCTCCATCCACTGCTGTAGGGGTGAGAATTTCAATTCAACACAAATCTATTTCACAAATAAAAAAAAAAAAATAGCCACTAGATCATCAGAGAAGGATTCTGTAGGCAATATGAACCATAGCTGAAGATTTTTTTCTGCAGGTTGACTCACTGCTGGACATCAGTCAGCCGGCATACGGTCAGCTGCAGAAATGGAGGGGTACAGACTGCACCAATGATGAGGTCTCTGCTGTCACACAGACCACTCAGAGGCCCTGGGAGGCCAAATCGACCCGTATGCTGCTACTCCAGGTCAGAGGCACTTCTCAGTAATGCGTTATAGAAATAGAAATGAATTTCTGGGCTCATCTTTAGAAAATAAAATAAATAGACATTTCATACTTGCTCACATAAACATTTAAAGGCAGAGGGAGATTTATGATAATCACTTTTCTCCCTCTCAGCTTTAACAACTTGAATTCATTATTTTATTCTTTTGGTAAAATTACTTTGATTAAAGATAGAAGAATTAAAAAAAAAAAAAATTGCGCACTTATGCTTTTACAGTTTTTAGCACTTCGATGCCAAGGGATGAACATTGAAGATTTCACCAGTGGAACAATAACTTTTGCTTCATCTTTTATTTTGTAGGACTTGAAGACTTCTGCTGCCCATTGGTTTTTAATTAGTGATGAGATGTAATCAGAGAAATCACAATGCAGAATTAAATGGTATTCATGTGTTAATGTGTTTTTAGCAAGACCATCATTTTTCTCTGAAGTGCATATTTTAAAACTCAGTCGTAATGAGAATAGCTTTGAAACTTTCTTGTTTTTCTCTCGTTCTTTAGACCATAGGATGCAGAAAGCTGAAACCAGATTTTTATCTGAACTCTGTATAAAGACGCAGCTTTTTCCTCTTAAAGTGACCCTTAATCATGCTAAAACTCACATGTTTTATGTTAGTTTAGGGCAACAAAGTTGTTTGCTAAAGCTAATAATAACGTTTTTTAATTTGATTTTATTTATTTTGTTATTCAAAAGTTGTCATGCATCATCCTCATCATTTATCACCATAAAGATAACTAAATTGGAGTTGTTGAAAGCCTGTATCATTTTGAGGGTTTTTAAATTTCAGATTCATTCAACATTTGATTTAGCACATATGGGTATGTTTTACAGTAAAACTGAAAAGATTTTGCTTAATTGTGTGTATAATGGAAAAATCAAAATAAATTGGGTAAGATATTAGGACAAGAATTGTAACCCTCAATAAGTCCAATTTCAAGGTGCCTTAAGGTGTTTTTTTTTCATCTCTTTAAATAAACATGAAGTTTGTTCACCGGTGATGTTCAGGAAGAAGATCAGTTCTTTGTTTCTGAAGTTTCGTAATTTGGTCCATAATGTAGCAGTCAAGCCAGAAGAAGAGGAAAAGACCGTAAGAAATTTCTGGCTTAAGCTAAGAAAGTTCCATTATCCACAGTAAAAGTACTGCAGTGCTGATATGGACTAAAGGGCTTCTAAGAAGGCAGGAGCCAACTGTATCATAAAAACCCAAATAACAGCTTTCAAAACACCCCAGGAAGAAAGACCTTTACTTTTGGAGGCGTGTTCTTTATGATAGGATCAAAATGTAGTTTTTTGGATGCAGCAACCATTCTTATACCTCGAAGATAAAAATGGGGTGGGCAGTGTTGATGCCTAGGAGCCTGAGAACACTGTCCAAACTGTAAGGTACGGAGGTTGCAGCATCTTGTTGTTGAGATGTTTTGCTGTAGGAGGAGCTGTGATGCACTTCACAAAGGAAAAGACTTCCTGTATTTTCACGACTATAAGGCGCATATAAACGTCTTTTTTTTTCCCTCAAAATGTGCGGTGCGCTGTCAGTAGGAATCCCATTCAACAGCAGATTTACTGCCAGACAGAGAAATAAACAATTGTGTCTTTACATTCAGTGTATCCAAATATTTTAGCTGGGTTCAACAGAGTCAAAGCTTCTGTAAAGTTCTCAGGATATGCATCTTAAAGATGTCGTTGCTGACATTTAAACATGTTTGCTTTGCAGATTACAGATGGAGTTCAGAGCTTGGAGGCCATGGAGTATCAACCCATCCCTGCACTCAGTGCAGCACTCCGGTTAGCAACTGATTTATAACACACCTGCTATCTTTACTGCTGTTTCTGTTTTAACAGAAGTACTAAATGCATCTTAATTACATTTTCTATTTACTTGTAAAAGTTTAGTTTTACCACCCGAAATCAGATTAAACTGCTATTTTTATTTTTTTAAACCAGCTCTATAATTCTGTATAATTTTTTTTAGACCCGGTGCAAAACTGCAGTTGCAAGGCAAGATGGTTTGCAGACTTGGTGTTGTGCTGTTGGGGCCATCCAATGTGAAGGTCTTAGGTGGGGAGGTGGAGGACTTGGTGGAAAGAAATACTCAGGTTAGCTTTACATAGACAAGGCAGATTTTTGAAGTATTTGATCTAAAATTATTTACTCTTTACTTTTGCAAATATGAAACAATTATTGTCTGTTTTTTGTTCCATTATAGGGTCGGGTGTTGTGCCGGACGCTGGGACTTCCTGAGGAGGAGGAGCAGCAGGGGGATGAAGGAACAGAGGCTCCAACACAACCGCAACAAGGTATGGTCACATTAGTTTGTTGTTCTTTGGTCAAATTTTAAAAATCTCCCAAAATTTTTTTATCAAAATAAATAAATAAATAATATATATAAATAAATAAATAAATTATTTATATATANATATATATATATATATATATATATATATATATATATATATATAATCTTTTTCAGGCAACCAAGAAGTTGTAGATCTGGAGATGGATGACGATGAGCTGTTGGCCAGTCTGGAGGAACACAGTGAAGTTGAAGGGCTCAGCGTTCAACCATCTAGAGACAGTGGTTATGGGACCATACGGGAGACCTCAACACTGTCTTCCTTCCTTGGGAACATTGTCTCCTCTGGGTCAGTCGTCAATAATTACGTCCTCAAATTTTAAGCTTAATTTTTTGTATGTTTTGTGTTTGTATGAAATTTAACAAAATCATATACATTTGTCTTAGAAGAAAAAAGGAAGAAAATGTTATCTGCAACCAGAAACTTGGGAAATACAACCACCAGGATCACAAGAATTCCTTTGGGAACTCCTAACCCCTGTACCAAACTTTCATTAGTTTCCTTGTGAATTGCCTTTTCTAATTCAGTTAATCCCACTGATGTTATTAGGGCTTCAACTATAGATTATTTTGCAAATCAATTAATCTATTGATTATTTATCTGATTCATCGATTTATAATCGGATATCCAAAGGTTCCTTAGAATATTTTTTTTTTTTACTGTGTTAAATTTGGTCAAGCTAAAACTTTTCCACTTGTGGAATTCTGGATAGAGCGTATTGACAGATAGGGCTGAGTATTTTAAGTCCTGAATCGATTCGATTTTGATTCATACAGTTCTAAATCGATTAATTTCGATTCGATCTGTTTTTACAATAATGAAAGTGGTTCAACTGTGTTTCAAAATACTCGTATTTTATTTTTTTCCTGTCATATTAAACACAAAGTGCAAACTTATTGTCTCAAAAGGGCAAACTTGCTTGGGGACACAGCAAACATGCATGTGCTGCATTATCTCCACTGTACTAACCATATGTGCAGAGTTGTCTGTAACAACTACATGGTGTTTGCTGGTCAGCCCCCACTTGTTAATGTCTTCAGTCAACCTATTGGCTATATTTGCAGCTGTCTGGCTTGAAGTAATCTTGAGTGCAATCAATTTTGCAAAAATGTAAAGGAATCGATTCAAAATCGATTAAATACATTTTTTTTTTACCCAGCCCTATTGACAGATGAAAATGTTTTTTAATTATCATATCGATATATGTTTTCTTATAGTTACTAGTGTTGCACCGATACCTGTATCGGGCGGGGACCCGATCCAGCACTAAAATGGTATCGGTTTCAGGGAGTACCAACAAATAGGGCACCAATACCATTTTGAGAGGCAAAAGTTTATTCAACTATTGTCACCCATTCCAGGTACGCAATAAAAAGTTCTACTAGATTCACTTTGTATTAGTCTTTTTCCTGCTTCAGGCAGCAGCTTGACAAAGCCATGATGGCAATTATTTTACATTCAAGTAGTATGCAGTTCTTCATATATATATATATATATATATATATATATATATCAATTTCAAACAAATGGTATCAGTATCAGCCTATACTGCACAGCCAGGTATCGGTATCGGGGCCAAAAAATGTCATCGGCGCAACACTAATAGTTTCCGCTCTAAGGGGGTTGCCCTGTCAGCTTAAGGTATGTTTTAAATTCTCTATACTCCAGTTAGCGATTATACAATTACTGTTTAGTTGATGATTATTTCAATAATCAATCACGACTAATACGATTAATTGTTTTAGCCCTAGATGTTATTATTAAAACATAATATTGACCTAGTCAAAGATAACTCTTCCCATTCCAAAATCTACTGTTTTCAGCAAGATCTGGTTGCACTAATTGTGGTGCGTTCACTGATTGAGGACAAAAAAAACTGCTGAATCCCTATTGCATTTTTGATTCAAATATAAAGGATGTAAATTTAATGGAAGCTTTGGGGGGCGGTACCTACGGTACTTGGAATCATAATCATACATTAGGTCTGTCTTGTTAGACACCGTCCTGTCTTGAGTTTCCATCAATGTCTACTATAAATATTTTTCTTTGTAACACAACAACATTACCTTTTATTTGTGTCTTTTAGGAGTCAACCCTCAACCTACTTTCAAAGAAGTAATTTGACTGGAACTAACTCGACAAGGTCTGCTGGAAGAACCAATGGTGAAGAGCAACGGTTCCAAAATGACAACATGGCAGACAATGAATTTCCAGATGAAGACTTTGATGATTTCCCTCTGGATGAGTTGGATAGTGTCATATTACAGGAGAGTGAAAATGTTGACAGCAGTGACCACACACTTCAGGATAACCAAAGAGCAGAAAATTCAAGCAATGTGGTAGGAGCAGCAAAACCACAAGCTGCTCAGTTTGAGGCGCTGACGTCACATGAGACATATGGGGGATCTGTTCCCTCCAGATCCACCACACTGAAAAGAGATCATAAAGGATGTATCAAGGGGGCTTCCAAGCCATTCCTTTCTTCAACAGATTTAGAGCCGCCAAAAGAGATAGAGATAGATATGAATGATGAGAGCAGATTTATGGACGAAGATATGGATTATCTGTTGCAAGAGGTCGAGAGCAATCCAGTGCTAAGGGAGAGATCGGAAGGACTGACTAAGATCTCTGCTGAAGAACGGTCTGGAAGAGGTGAACCAAGCATCAGCGGCTGTAGCCTTTCTATGATCTCCCCCAAAACGATCACGGAAACATCTCAAGGGAAAGCCCACAGTCTGATCTCTACAGAAAGCAACGCCAACTCCCAAGCTGTCACTTTGACCTCTGCACCTTTTACCTACATATGCTTGCTGGAAAAGCTTTTGTCTAAACAACTTTCCCACCCCATCGAAATCCACATCAAAGCCTTCATTGTGACTTTGATGGGCAAACTTAGCAGCAGTAACGGTGTCTGGAGTGTTTCTGCATCTGTATCCGACGGAACTGGTTACCTGGATGTGGTGCTATCCAATGAGGTTTTGACAGGCTTACTGGGCTTCTCCGTAGCAGAGAAGACAACTCTAAGGCGTGATCCGGCCCGTCGAGGGGAGCTTGACCATGGCATGAGGAGATGCCAGGAGGAGCTGGTGGACATGTGCTGCATTATGACCATCATCGTCAAACCAGGCAATGAGAGAGCCCTGGTGGCCAAGGCCGAACCGGTCAGTGACAAAATGTTGCGCGAGCTGGAGCTGAGGGCAACAGAAATTAAATGCAGCTGAGTGGAAGTGGGCGAAAATGAGAAAATTACCTACAACGGAAACATTAAATTGCCCTTCAGCAGAGACGAAAAATTGCCAATAAAGCTATGATCGAAATGGATGATCAACCTGCCCCTCTGCTACATTTTTAGACGGCAGAAGGTGTGAACTAGAAGTCTGATGATCTTGTGTTGCAATGCATCCCATCTGCTATATGCAATATAGCATTCTGTCATTTGTAGAGGACTTAATTAGTCTATTCCTTGTGCTTTCATAGACATTTAATCTATTGCACTGCATCTAAATATTCATATGTATTGATTAGCATAATGTTAGTTTAGACAACCCAGAGTTAAACCTCACACATTCTGTATAACATCAGAAAACTACATGAGGAGGAAAGTGGAGATGAGAGTAGGGATTCAGAGGTGTTCTTTTACTGATTGCAGTAATGAATTGCCAGTCTATGCATTCATCCAGCACGGCCATTACTTTGCACTGAATAGTGATTGAATAGGCAAGGGCAGCATGGGTCTTTAATAAACTTCCTCAGGAGAATGAGAGAAAAGGGGGGTATAAAGGAGAGGCGATGAGCTTTGATTATTTCTCTTCCCCTCAAGCCACGTCCATGGTTTTGGTTATAAATGTCATGATTTGTTTGTTGTTGTTTTTTTAACCTAAATACTGGAAATAAAAATATATTAAAAGGTTCTATCATCATTTTTGTTTCAGTTTTTTTTTTTCAGGAAGACTATCTATTCAAGCTTTCAGTAAATGGCTACTTTATCACCACACTAACTTGGATTACAACTCCAGCTTTTTTCTCTTCTACTCCAAATGATTTTTAATGGAAACCTCCTGCTGCAAATCCCCAATGGTCAAACCTTATGCTAAAGCAAAATCTGCTTTATAATGTGCATAAGTTTAGCATCTAGCATGGGATCTGTTCCCCGCTGTGAACAGTCACTAGTGTTTCTCTCCACAACGTTTTCAACAGGATATTGTTTATTCTTTCTAAACTCCAGAGGGATCTCCTGTTTTCTTGTTCACTTTCAGAAAGAGGTTACATCCAAATCCTACCACAAAACAGTCCAACTCTCTCTTACCTGTACATCTAATACATTTACACACCTTGAGCATTTCTTTCTTCATTCGTCATACAACACTCATAGGATTTGCTGCATTTTTTTTAATTATTTCGATTGATTAATAGCACAATTAGTATTGCAATAATAAGGTAGATTGAATGAATGATTTAACTTAAAGTTTATATAGAGATATAGATGTCTTACAAATATTTTCCCCTCTTTAACATATTTTGTAGCATTAAATCTAATGTCCATGTTATAAATCTTATTTCTGGTAATTAATCTGTATAAAAGGTCTAAGTAAAGAGAAATGAGAAAAAACAAAGTAAACAGAAAATTGGCATATGCATATATATGTTCCACCTTCTTTACTATAAAATGGAAAGAACAAAATTATAAAAAATTTTGTAACAGAATTTTTAATTAAGATCTCTCATCAACAACCCATCTGAAATGAAAAAGAAAAAGGTGTCATACTTGCTAATGTTTTTATTAATATTTTTGGCCCATCAACTAGTATTTAAATTTTACTTGATATTAATAAGCACCTTTTCATATTTATGATTTACTTTTCTTAAGGGAAAGGACTCGGGTACATTCAAGTAATTGAGGCTTCAAAGATGGACATAACGCACTGTAATTGGAATGGGGTGTATATTGCAGATCCGACTCAGGCCTGTCTAATATTTCTCTTTTTTTGCAGCTAAATAAACATTTTCCTATAAGAAAGGAAAATACAATCAGGCCCAGCTATTTTCACAGATTTTTACTTGATATGGGGAAAACTCATGCAAGACGACTTTCTCTATGTAAGCTGTCTCTCCAGTATGCATGCCAGCGAATGCTCTGTGCAAGATGCTGCCAGAAGTTCTTAGCAGAAACCAACAACCATGGTGGTCGCCATTGGCTGAATTTGAAACTTATCTGAGAAAGAATGTGTTTGGTTGGTTTGCTTTATACACATCTATTTTTCTGATATTTCTTCAGCTTGAAGCCAGTGGTCTTTTTCATCCCTGATATTGTTCTGCTGAAGCATATTTTCCAGCTTCCTCATGTATGTCTCCTTGCTTTCTCTTATTTTGACCTTAAAGTTGTTTTTGTTTAATCCTATGTAATGTCTGCCTCAAATGGTCCTTTTTATGGCAGGATACAAACCTCGATTTGTGAATGATTGCTTTTTTTAAAAATTATTCTAAAAGGGACAGCATTTGAGGGTTTTACATGTAAACAACTTTATATTGCTAAACTAAAATTCTAAAATTGTCCTTATATTATTTTTTATTGCACCAAAACCTTTATTTTCTGCTCCTGTATTGTAAGAATTATGACAGGTGGTACATTTTTAAGGTGTAGGAAAGGCCAATAACTTTGGGATGAATTAGAACAGAGTGTGCAAGCCTAGCATTCCCATCAAAAATTTTTGGTGTATTTTCCTCCATCCATCAATTCTTACCACATGCACTGTCTCTGCCCCACAGCCTGATGCCACCAACATCATGCATCAGATTATGAATGGTGTTATGTCGGTGATGTACCTCATCGAGTCATGTGCAATTGTATGTCGCCCTATAAAAAAAAAAAAATCTTTACTAGAATACTTAAAACTTATGGTTTAAAATGACATGACAAAGAAATGAAGCTTAAGTGAAAATTCAATCTTGAAGACTATTATATGACTATATCAGCTTCACCTGAACCACCAGCGATGTCCCTCGCTCGGCTCCAGCCAAACAACCTAGGGCCGCACTTTTTCCGAAGCCAATCATCTTTCAAGATCCCCTTTATTTAGCTCCTTGCCCAGGTTGTCTCTCTCACATGCACACAAACTTTCACTCACCTTCACCCTATTTCCTCCCTCATTCTCAGACTATCCTGAGTCCCATTCAACCTCTGGCTTATTGCACTACCAGTGTCTGGGCCCTGGGGGAAGATTAGTCCCTTTCTAGTTACTCATCTGAGCGTACGTTGATTCACAGCATCAAAGTCTTCTGCCAGGGCCCGAGCGGCAAAGTTACTTATTTCGTTTATGTCTTTATTTGCTTCTGTCTTTGTACCCCAGTCGGCCTCGGCAGATTTGCTGCTCACACTGAGCCTGATTCTCCTGGAGGTTTCTTCCTGTTAAAAGGGAGTTTTCCTCTCCACTGTCGCTACATGCTTGCTCAGTGCACTTGCAGAGAGTTAATGAGTCCTCGCAATCAGCTGGTTTTCCTCCGATAGAAATATTTTGAAGAATATGATGAGTCTCTCCAGGTGGAAAAACATTCAACCGTGAATACCATTGCAAAGCACTGAAGTGGTTTTCAGGGATTAAGATTGAGATCTCCTTTTCTCCTGACTTTTCTCCTCTTTGTCTACTTGCACGATCATAAATCCCTCATGACAAAAGATAAAGGTAATGCCAAATATAAACCATGTCAACTCTTCTATAATTAGGTTGTCACACCCACCAGCAGCAGACCTTTGTAAAGATAAAATATCAGATTCATAATGTGAAAAAAAAACAAAAGGCACTTATTGTTGTGATTATAAAAAAAAAAAAAAAAAAAGACTTAAAAAACCCCAATGAAATGTGATTGAAGTAGCAGCAGAATCTCCGCATGCATAATTAAAGATACAAAATAAGATAAAATGCATTAGGATCTTCTTTTAAATGCTACTTTTACTGTATTTTATGAAAAACATAATTATATAAGCAGTACACATTATAGCTACTACAGTTTAAGTTCTACTGGGTAAAGTAATAAAATATCTAATATTTTCATAAAATTCACATTAAGCTGAAAATTTTCTATCACTCTAACATTTATTTAAATCAGTTTTATCAAACAAACCAAAAAAAAAAAAAAAAACGCCATTGTGTGTCAGGGAGTGAAACTCCGAGAAGGAAATAAGAATGTATATCAAAATCCACAGTGTGAATGTTTACATTTGTGTCACTGTATATTCCACGTACATGTGGGTTATTATCCTGCTCCGCAGTGGAGACTTCTATTCAGGTAGTCGGTCGCTCTCGGCTCATTAGGGGCTAATCGAGTTGAATGTCTAAATCAGAACCCTGCCATGCATGTTGATGGTCTGTTATGAGCTAATGAAGCTGTATATAGGGAAAGGGGTGGCCAAGAAAGAGAGGAAAAAGCCTCCAAGGGGCAGATACAAGTGGAATAAATATTGGGTGATAGAGCAGATGAAATGGGAAGAGGATTCTGTCTCTGTGGAGAGCGACATCCTCTATAAAATACTGTTGAAAAAAATATATCAAAGGGGTATTTGCAGAAAACTCACAGTGGTTATTTATGTTTAACATCCTGTGGATGTTATTTTTTGCAGGACAAGCTAAATAAAACAACACAAAGATATGGCCAGCATTTCTTTAAAATGTATATAAAATAATAATAAAAAAATAAATAAATAAAATGAAAAAAATGTATATACCATTTTCAGATATTAATAGCATCAAGCATTAAAAAAATATATTCAGTCATTTTACGGCCACTGCTTATTAAGCATGGTTTTTCATGTAAGCTTAAGTCATTAAAGAGATTCTGAGTAAACATTCTTTGTTTTGCATTCATTATAGATATTTAAAATCTCAGGGCACTTTGAGAGCACGCTGTACTCCATGAGACTATTGGAAGACCGGAAAGCTGAATAGAATGAGGAAATTACAATTTTTGAGTCTATAAAAGTTTCTCATGCAGGGGCACAGAATAACTGATATATTTCTAAGTCGGCACAAGAAAGTGCCTGTCTGCCCTAATAGCTTTCCATTTTGAACCTTATTTTTTCAGATTATGTTAGTTTTCCACCTCTACGTTGGTTTGAAGTAGCTAAAGGAAAAAAAAATGTTTTTTCATTCCCCTATGAGTTTGGATGTACCTTCCCAAATTACTGATAGCGGACAAATGAAGGAGACTGAGACAGGAAGGACTGAGCACACACATCACTACACAGAGCACCATGATAATTTCTCTAATGTTCATCTATCTGCACTCTGGCAATTACAAACATCCATGGAAAAAAGTACATGAGCAATCCTAATGCCCTTCCTGCTGTAGCAGCTGTAATTTTCTTTGCCCTATTACATTCAGTAATGAAAAATCCACTTAGACAGCTCAACTTCTCTTTTAGGCCTCCATCAAAATGAGCAAATGGTTTCTCGTCATGGCAAAAGCATACCTCTTTATTTCTGTACATGTGTGTGGGAGTTTGTGTGTCCATGGATGCTTAGTTTACGTTGAGGATGTGCATGATTGAATAAAAAGGTTTATTTATTTAGTTTACCTTTGTTGGCTGGCTGGCTGGCTGGCTGGCTGGCTGGCTGGCTGGCTGGCTGGATGGACAGACGGACGGATGGATGGAGGGATAAGCTATGCCATATCGTCCCTCTTAAAAAAAACAAAAAAAACGTTTCCCTAAAGAAAAAAAAAACCCGCACAACTTAATATTTTGTCCCCCTGAAAGGAAAAGCAAACAACAAAAATGTTTCCTAAAGAAAAACCCAATGGCAAAAAAAAAAAAACATAGATTGTGATTATTAGTAATTTCTTACTTCATCTTGCCTTGGAGTTGGACATCCATTCACCGATCGGCTATAACGAACCAGAAGTGGTCATATTAAAAGGGCAT